CACAGAGTGCGTACTCTCGTTACCTTAAAACTACGAAAGCTGATGGAGACAGATATCACTCCACTGATATGGACAAGTTATGGACAAGTTCCCACTGAGACATTTTGTTTTGTTTGTGGGTCCTACTGATTTTGAGTTCTCATCTTGACGATCTTGTGGATCAGTCATTCTCATTCTCGTTACATGTTAGCCGTGGGTGAGAAACACCACCTATTGTGCCGCAATACAACGACCCAAGATATATACCAAAAAGCGCTATAGAATACAAAATGAAGGCAACACGGTTGCAATCTTATAGTTTTCTTTGTTGTTTCCACATTTAGAATATTCACCAGTTCACAAATACCAGCTGAATCTCCCCACCCGTGTTGTACAGCTCGTAATATGTCTGCCTAATGATGGAAATACTTGCTGCGATGTGTGACAGCTTCCAGCCAGAAGTTCCAGCGGTTGGTGACCGGTGCAGGTGGGCCGGTTGGGTTATGCACGCCCTCCTGAGTTAGATACTCCATGTAGGCACGCCTCTTTCTTCCCTAAAGACGAAAACCACTTTCATGTTTGCAACGCATTCGTCAACTTCCGGAGGGAATTTGCGAATGGTCCCTCCAATCAAGTTGATACAATGGGTAACACATCTGATGTGAACTGAATCCTCACAAACAGGCTTAATGACATCTCGGTAGCATGCTGTCATGTATCTATCGCCATCGGACACGAAGACCATCACACGACTGAACTCTATATCCATCATTGTCAAGTTGCGCAGAATGGATCCTCCAGCTGTGGCATAACTGACTCTCTCCATATTGACCGTGTCGATGAGGTATACTCCGAGACTGTCCTTGTTGGTCTTCAATGCTTGGCATAACAGAATGTGTAGTTCCATTTTCCCCTGCGATAATCAGTTGTTTCGTCTGTTATAACGCCAAACCCGCTGTCTTGCGGTCAGGTTTTTGAACCAAAGGCTTTGGTTGAGAACCCTAATCGTTCTCCTGTCTAGGCCTGGGAAACCTGACAGTATCCTGCCCACGCAATAAAATGAATCTCACTTCAAACAAATTTCTGATGCTCTGGCCACCGCAGAGGATAATCCACGGTGCCCTATCTGCTGCATCGGGCAGAGTGGATAGGGGTTTGGATGCTACTGCTCAGGTCTTCCCATCCTCTTATTCCCCCTCTTACGCTTTTTCTCTCTTACCGTTCCAATTTCAATTTTATCCCTCCGGTTTTCAAGCCCCCGATTCTTGGCCCTCCCCCACCTTCCTTTGCTAGGCTTTTACCTTCTAGGTTCAACTCGCATCTAAACGCGGAGCGCCATTCCTGTCCTGTCGACAAGCCCATGTCCAGCCATGCGGCCGACCCCAGTTCATCGATTTCCGTTTGGAGTCCTCGATCATCCTTCAGATTGACATGCCTCATTGTACGCACATTGCTACAAATCGGTCAACAGGCAGCACTTGTCCGAACATTAGAGACCCTCTCGATCGATATCTGCTGCTTATCGGAGACGCGCTCCCAAGACTCGAGCTCTGTGCTTTACTTTGCGATCCCGTTCAGGTGACACCAGCAACACTTTCTGATTACACCTATCCGGTGATGATGCAGCTTCGAGCACCGGCCAAGCCGGTGTTGGTAGTGCCCTGAGTCCCCGGGCTGAAGCTGCTCTGGTTGACTGGATTCCAATCAGTAGCCGGTTGTGTGCGGTCCTTTTGGCTGGCTCGTTCAAATCTTCGAAGCCGCGCGGGACTAACAGGTGTCTATTCGTCATCGCTCCCTATACACCCACAAACTGTAGCGATGATTCGGTAAAAGACGACTTCTATCGCTAATTGAACGTGCTCCTTAGCCACAGAAGAAGCTCGGACACTGTAGTGCTGGGTGGGGATCTGAACGCTCAAGTCGGAAGGTTGTCCACTGATGAAATGCATCTGGGCGGATCAGCACGGTGTAGGCTCCCTTAATGATAACGGTGGGCGCTTGATTCATTTTTGTGAAGATGCCCGCTTATTTCTTGCGTGCACTAATTTCCGACACAGCACCCGCCGGAGGGTGACTTGGCGCCCACCAGCCTCGAACCAGCTATGGACGCAAACCGATCACATTGCGCTAAGTTACCGATGTAGAGGCTGCGTCCAGAACTGTGGCTTGATTTGGAGCACATGTGTGGACACCGACCATGCACTTGTATGTGCGGACATGCGGATGCGTTTTGGCGGACGCCCGCGACGACGTTGTGAGCGCAATGACACCAGCCAACTGGCGAAACCAGCTGTTCTGAATAACTATCAAAGTACGCTGTCATGCGAGTTGAGTAAGCGCTCATTGGATGCAATTGAAGCTCGCTGGTCTCATATTCACCAGTCCTTACTAGCAGCAGGCAGATCCGCATGTGGTAAGTCTAATCGCCGACATGGACATTGGGTCTCTTCGCGGTCTCTGGAACTTATTGATGCTCGCCGGCATATTCCTGCTGGAAGCGAACACAATGAAACTCGCAAAGAGTTCCGGGAAAGATTCCGTGGTAACCTGAAGAGAGACCGCGTATCCTCGTGGTCTCATCGTGCATCAGAGATGGAATTGTCCGCTGCCCTCGGGAACCATCGTAAGTTATTCCGTCTAATGCGGGAAACGGGCAGTAGGAGACTTGGAGTTTGGTGAAACTATACGTGACGAGAGTGGACAGCCTAACTACAACTTGTGAAAACGCTTGGAGCGTTGGGCTGAGCACTTTGAAAGGCAATTTAATCGGTCGGAATTGTTAGCTTTCTTGCCGGCCACTAACCGCCCCGCTCCATGGGCTGTCCCTTTGGATCCACCCTCTCGCTCAGAAGTCGAACGTGAGATCGCCCTGTCGAACTTAAACGTGATGCCTACTTCTTACAGCCCTTGACTGAAATGCCTGCACAGTGTCTGGCAAGTCGGTGTGAAGGGATGTGTTTGTAGCACGTATGCGGAATGATGCTTAGACTCTGAAAGAGGGATGTGGTGGCTAACCTGATCAGGCCTCTGCCTGGCGTGTCAAACTGCCAGCTACACCTCCCCCACTATTTTCATCCCGTAGCTTTACGAGCTTTGCATAAAATTTCATTTCGTGTCGAATCCAAAAGATTGGTTTTCACCATTTGCGAATGACCAGGTGTCTGTTCCGAGTTCGACTTGTACCGCTTTTACCGAACTCGATAGTCTGCATTACGGCGTTGAAGAGGTATGTCAACTACTCGCCAACCTTGACGGCACCGAACCTGCCGAACCTGATGGGCTTCACCCACTGGTTCTCAAGTCACTTTCGACCATCATCTCTCCTGTCGGGACTGACCTTTTCAATAGGTTGCTGTCCGAAGGTTTGTTGCCGGTTGACTGTAAATGTTCGGTGGTGAAGCCTATTCCGAAAGGCGGCGACCCTAGCAAAGTGAACAACTACAAGCCAATTTGTCTGACACCTATTTTGACAAAGGCTGCTGAGAAAATCGTGAAGAAGGGATTGCTGCAATTGCTACAGTCAAAGGAGGTCCTGACGCCCGCACAGCACGGTTTTATGCAAGGTCGCTCATGCATTACGAACCTGCTTGTGACGAGGCATGAGTGGTTGAAGGCAATAAGCAAGGGGAACTCCGTCAACGTGATATCGATTTCAGTAAAGCGTTCGACAAGGTCAGCCATGAGGTTCTCCTTCACAAACTCAGAATGTGTGGTGTCGGTGGCTCACTGCAGCGATGGATCCGCGACTTTCTTGTTGGACGAAAGTGGAGAGTACAGGTCAACGACCATCTAACTGACTGGTACCCTTCTACAAGTGGCGTGCCTCAAGGCACTGTGCTGGGACCCACTCTGTTCCTGATCCACATCAACGATCTACCTCAGCTTCTCCGGTCGCTGTGTGCCTTGTTTGCGGACGCCATGAAGATTTGGAAAGAAATCGACACTTCCGATGACTGGCCTACTTCAGCAAGACCTCAACCGCCTATTCACATGGTCTGCAGAAGTTCTTCTCTCGGTCAACCCAGCCAAGTCTGTATTTATGAGCCTGGGCAAGGGTGCTGACTGCCGAACCTACACCCTTGACGGCCAACCGCTATATCCCACACTCTCCGTGAAGGACCTAGGTGTACTCTCACGCTACGATTTGAAGTCCGTGGACATCACGAACAGGATATATCGTAACGGACTGCATATGCTTTGGGCGCTCAGACTTAGCTTCGGCACATGGTCTGAAGAGGTTGCCACTCGCCTCTTCTCTTCCATCATTAGACCAATGCTAGAGTACGGTTCGCCCGCCTACTTTCCGATTACCCGAGGCGAGGCACAAAAGATCGAACGGGTCCAACACGTTGCTACCAGGCTTATCCCGAGTTTACGTGGCTTTGGGTATGAAGACCGGTGCGAGAAACTAGGACTCTACACCTTGTCCTACCGTCGGGTGCGAGTCGACCTCGTTATGACCTACCTTATTCTACATCTCGGTGAGTTTCCAAAGCTAAGGCCAATGCTGCACTTACGAGGGCCATGCAGCACACGCGGACACAAATACAAACTTATCGTGCCGGATGTGAAATGTGTTCCCCATCCACTGTGCTTCGAACGGAGAGTGGTAAATATTTGGAATAGTTTACCTGAACATGTGATGGAGGCAACATCTGCGCAGCAGTTCAAAACGTTGTTAGATTTATATTTTACCACTATTCGATTCGGAGAACGATTGCACACTCACGATGACGTATCACATTTGTGAGTCCTGCAATACCGTGCTTCAGATGTTTTAAATGTTACATGAGAACGAGAACCATATTCACGGCTGACAACTTTTATAACATTTTTCACCATATTTCGAAAGAGTTGTACATAAATTATTTCTACTTGCTCTATAATTCAGTATTTATTATTCATTGAGATCTTCGTGTGTCCCAATGCGAACCCTCTATCTGACTTATAGTTCGGCATTGTGCGCATATTTTTCTTGTATAGTTCGTTTGCAATTGCCCACTTTCTATTTCCAAATTCAGAACAACGCGGCCATACGTGTGTGCACTGTGGCAAATCTTTTGCTCATAAATGCTACTTAGAATTACACGTCAACGCTGTTCATTTGAGTAAGTGCGCAAGTATTACAACTTGTTTTGAGCCTACTCATCATCACATTCGTTCCATGTTGATTCTCCGTCGGTTTGTTGAACATTTCGTTTATTTTGTGTTGAACACGTTTGACTAGCTGCACTTGCTGACATGTCAAGTAGCCGACCTCAGTGGCGTTCCTGCTGGGAGTTTCTTTGTCCCTCCCCATCCCTTTTAGCCTCCCACTTCAACCACGATCTCATTTCGTAGCATGATATAAGTTTACATGATAATTTTTCTTGTCGCCTAGTAGCCGGCTGGTAGCTTTCCGGAACGATGCCCATCCGTTGCTGGTATCTCAGCTGGCGTGCAACTGTTGTATTTATTTTCCTTTTCTTTTATGTATTGGCGGCACAGTAGCTGAAGTCTTTCCAACCTTTTGCTAACGTGTATAATGAAAATGATGATCGTTTGTTTTGTGACTAATGAGCCTCTTTTATCGTTTTGTTCACATTTTCTGCTCTCTACTGGAACCGCCGTGTGTGTGTGGTCTTAGGAGCAGCCACTTCTCATTTTCCAATTTGTTATGTTTTCTCTGACGTTGGTTTTGACGTTCCTATAGGCATCACAAATTTACCATAATTTTCATACTGTGTCACTGTTCCTGAAGTCACATCGAAAGTCGTTAATTACGCACTTGCACATATCGCACTCGTGGTCCATGGCCTCTGTATCTACTTTCACCTGCGATGATGCACATGACAACTGAGAGTGGTTTGGATTTTATCATCCGCAGCTCCATCCACATGTCCATCATGAGCTTTACGAAACAAGGTTGGGTAGTATGCTTATGGGATGTACGGTTGTCTCCTGGATGGCCCACGATTCTTCGCTGGGATCATCGCTTGTGCACATTTTTGGGAAACGAGCGTATCAAACGAACACAGATGGGTGGTTGGGCTCTGTGCTGTGGCTTCCACGTTCGCGAAAGCTTTTCACTTCATATAGCAACAATCATGCTTGTGTTACCGCATGTTAGACAACTTGTCAACATTTGCATTACGTGCACTGAAGCCTAGCACATCACGCGACTTCTAGCGTTTACTCTTGCGCGTCTATCTGAACTGCAGTTATGATGCATCCGAAGTGTCACCTTCGTCATCTCATCTGTGTGAACTACTCGATGGTTTTTCATACTTTTCAGTGTACTTGCGCATCTGCTGAATTTTATCCACGGACGGGGTGTTCGTAGTGCCAGTCTTGATGCCTATATGATTCCTTCTTTTTGAACTGCACAGCGTTTTCTCAAAACCATGTGACTCTTGGTGCTAATGGTTTTCATTCAGGCGGCCAACTATTGCGGAGCCTATGTCATACTGGAACGGCACTGGTGATGCATTCTGAAACCGATGTAAAGTGTGGTTAGCGCCACCTCGCGCAGATTATCTTCGTCATCCATCCCCGTCTCACTGGGCACTCCATTAGTGGTGTCCTGGCGACAGAATTCCATGGAGATCAGTATGATGCGTTGCATTTCGTACCGACTTATTTGTTGATCGAGCTTACACTAACGTTTTCATGGATTGCGTACGGTTACCCACGACAGCCAATAGTGTGACTGAATTGATGGCATTTTGGGACTAGGGTTAGTAAGGATAGTGTGGGGGTTGGGGGCTGATATCGACCCGGACACATATCGACTGTGTGGATAAGAAAGAAGGGAAATGCGCACATCTGCGTTTGCATTTTACTGTTCACACAACTGAACACTTCCGGTGGACACTCCATATCGAATTTTATTTTATGAATCGCATTTTTTCTTGGCTGTTGCGCTACTAGTCTGCCTGCTTCTGAACAAAAGGACTCACGTCTCTTCGATAGTGGGTCTTTCCGGTAAGCATCTGTAGGTGCGCTATGAGGAGATGAGCTTATCCTGAGTTCCACACTAAAGTGCCCATGACTTGTGTCTATGACAAAACCAAAGCACCAGTAGGGAGTAACTGGCCCCTAGAATCCTCATGGGTCTAGGATTTCTCTTAGTCACTGATGCTTGCCTTTCTCCAACTTCACGCTTGCATGCCGCCATGGGGTTTATCATTGACCAGTCCTATGCGTCACTTGAATGACGGTGGCTCACAAGATCCGGACGCAACAGTCTGCCTCTACATTGACTGACTGAGCCTGCTAATGCCCCACACACCGCTTCCCACAAAGCGATCGCTGTTATGATGGGGTAACTGGCATCTGCTTGTCACTTGTTAATTTCTCTGTTTGGATAGAGTGACGGACCACTCGCTTTTGCTCCTCTGGAACCACCGGTTTTGAGCTGTTGTGACCCAGGTGACATTAATGCATATCGTGGGTTATAGCCCCAGGTCAATTTACTTTGAGCATGAGCGCCACGCATGGTCCCTAACATTGCCAAGAGAACTCCTCGTGCTCAGGGATTTACCATCAACCTCCTCGAGCTCCAAAGTGTTCCTAGTCATTATAGTGCAGTCCCAACAATTCCTACCTCCCGTTGGCCGTGCTCGCAGATGCATAAATGTGCAATGGTTGAAAATCATGTGCTTCGTTCTTACTCTTCTAGTGCTGGGTGCGGTCAGCGCCAAACCGATCGTGATGTAATTTGTCTGAGGGAACGTGTTTGGTTCCATTTTGTGACCAAATCTGTCCGAATTACATCTTGATCAATACTGAACTACTAGCACGATACCTGTTCTTCCCATACTATAGCTGTTCAGCTGTTTGCTGTTGCAGTTGTTCCAGTGGCTTGCGCGATGGCCGTTGATAGGTCCGCAAACAGAAGTTCCAGCATCCTGTATGGTAGCCGAGATACCATTCCAGGGAAGCAATAAGGTGGAAGCTCGGTATGCAGAACATCCTGGTAGTTTTGTTTGCCCGAGGGTTGTGCTAATTTCTCATTTCATGTAAGACAGTGAGAGGACTGGTATTGCGAGATAGAACCATTTCGTGTTATCCGATCACCCGCTAACTAACAACATAAATATGAATCACGTGACCGAACAATTGTAGGTTTGAAACTGATCACAAAGGGAAATTACGTAAGCGCAAGCAAAGTAGATCACCGAGCTTCACCTTAAGGTCATGAGCTCTAAGGAAATTTTAGGGCGACTTAATTGTTTCTATATACAAAGGATAGGCCGATGCCTCTTAAAGGCTACGGCGTCGGCAAACCTCAAAACTTTGGGGTTTTCATTTTGATAGATAACTGTAAATGTTGGCCCAAAGTCAACCTGATGGCCTGTTTCGATTAGATGTCTGGCGATAGATGATCCAGGCAGCTTAGACACCTTTTCTTGTTCGGCTGCTTGCTGTGCCGCTAGATTTACCATCCGTTTTGGGATGTGCTCTCCAATGCATTTACCCAAGGATCGATCTGTTCTGCCAGTGTAACTACTTCTGCATTTACAAACAAATTGTTAAATACAATGGGTTGTGACGGAGATCGGTTGAGTAGGCTTCACTGGAAACATAGGCAACTTCCTGTTCCCCCAATTATGGTGGAATTTGGCGGCATTGCATGTCCGATGAATCGCTGTATGCCCACGACTATCAAGTTGTGCGGTCACGATGTCACCCTTGAAAGGTAATTGAAGGTAGAAAGACAGTTTGGACACAAGAAGTACCCTCAGTATGTTTTTCTTCAGTTGACAGTGAAATCGAATAAACGTCTCTGGATATGCATTGGCCCGTAAGGTCTGTGGGATGAACTGCAATTCTGATTTTAAACAGTCGTTTGGAAGCTGGCCATGGACATCTTCCTCGATGGGGACAGTGGCGATCGCCGTATCTTCGTTTGTACTATGGTTGGGGATCAGGAGAGAGAAACCGTAAGTTTGACCGAAATCCTGGGTGCGGCAGAATCGGATTTCGAAACCATACCCAAGAAGTATAACGGCCCATCGTTGAAGTCGGCTGGCTGAGTATGCCAGGATGCCATTCTTCTAACCAAAGATTGACATCAATGTCTTGTGGTCGGTCAGGAAAGGGAAATGCCGACCATACAGCATATGGCTGAACTTTTTGACGGCAAAGACAATGGTCAAGCCTCCCCCGTCTGACTGTATTTCTCTGCGGACGTCAGTGTGCGTGAGGCGTGCATGACGGCTTCTCAGGACCATCAGGGAAGCGGTGTGTAAGGACTGGTCCGCTTCCATAAGTGGAGGCCTCGGCAGCGACCAAAGTGGGTAAGGCTGTCTTAATGCGTCAGTACTAGGTCAGAACTGAGGAACATTGTATTGATGGTAATGAACATGTATTGATGGTAATAAAGCACTGTAGTAGCTGATGAGGCCAAGGAAGGACCGCAGCTGATGGATATCTTTGTGGGACGGCATCAGTTGGATAGTTTGAACGTTTTTGAGTTCAGGATGATGGCCGTAGCATCGAAGGCAAAGATGAGATACTTGACCTACCGAAGAAACAATCCACATTAATCAGCCCTCTGGCGGAAGCCATACTCCTGGATCCATCCAAAAATAGAGACCAGGCTTTTACGCAATTCTTCTGGAGTGTTGCCAATAATAAGCAAGTCATCCAGATACGCGGCCGTACCCGGAATATCAAAGATCATTACATTTGTTGTCTGCTGAAACATCACTGGGAGGTCTTGACACCAAACGGCATCTGGTTTGTTGGAGGAGACCTCGATGTGTGTTGATCGTCAGAAGCGGTTGAGACTCAGGAGCAATTTCCATCTGTAGGTAGGCATCTGCCATGTAGATCTTTGCGAAGCACGTATGACCATTGGGCATCGTGAACACCTCCGTTGGAGATGGCAACGAGTAGCAGTTTGGCTCTAGCGCAGCATTGAGGCAATTGGAGAAATCGGCAGAGATACGCAGGGGTTCCTTCTGTTTATTGAGTACAACGATCGGGGTTGCCCAGGCAAAGTAGCACACGGGTACCAGGACACCGACATCTGCCAATCGTTTGAGTTCAGCATCGACCAATGGTAAGGCTGCTTAAGAGACCGTCGATTTTACGAAATTCCTGTTGAGCTCCGGGAGCGAGCTATAACACGCCGCGAGTGCGTGTACAGCGGACAAAACCATCAGGGAACACTTGAGCCAACTGTCTGATGTTAACGGTTTGGTCAATTAGTACTGCCGGAGATTGTACCGCGATGCTAATGGCCCGACGAGGTAGCTCGGCCAAGCCAAGGTGATCGAGCCAATCGAGACCAAGGAGCTTGAGCTTCGCCTTTGTGCTCTAGCAGATTCCGTCGAATGTGACGCCTCGAACGAGGACGGAACACTACAGATGCTCAGTTAATTGCACGCGGCCACCACAGGCGCTGATGGCGGATTGATGTGTTGGGTCGAGTGATGATTTGCCAAGCGATTGTCAGAGTTTCTCCGAGATGATCGTGACGTCCGAAACAGTGTCCAACTGCAATCGAATAGGCTGCCCATTGATCAGGGCGTCGATGAAGTTCCTTCCGTCAGCGTTGACTTGGAAGGTGGCCAGCAGCTCATTGAGTCGCTACCCGGATCAGTTTTGGGCTTACATCTGCATAGTGACCTCGTTGTTTGACTGCGGGTGGGGGCCAGGCCAAGTTTGACCCCCCTTAGGTTGGGCGGAGCTAATGGTGGGGGCTAGCCCAGGTTTGACCCCCTTATATGTCGTAGAGTTACAGTAGCCATCACGGTGCCACATCCTGTCACCACGCTGGCATCGGTGCTGACGGAATTTGCAGTCTCGGTGGAATCTCTAGGCACCACAGAATCGACAGGGATATGGTAGGGACTTTGCTCTCTCGGGTTGGGTAAACTGTCCAGAAGATTGCGGCATTGATACTACGACTGTCTGGACCGGATCATGTGCATAATAATCCCGAATCCTTGCGGAGTCATGTTTCAGGTTGATCAGCATTTGACACTTCTCGACCAGGTTCTGGAGTGTGCTGGTGCTGCCACGTTGCAACTTGAACAGAAGGCGCGTTCGGATGTCGCAATCGTGGGCCGACTGGAGGCCAGAAGTGAAAATCAGACACTTAAACTGGTCGTCTGTGAGGGAGCCAAACGGTACTCCTTCGCATTTTCGATTATCGATGCCCGCTTATGTGATGAAATTATCGGCATCGCGCTTGGCCAGCTGCAGGCATTGGAACCGGGTGTTGAACAGCGAGGACCGTTCGCCAAAAACTGAGACAACGTGCGGATCGTCTCGCCGAAGGTAACGTCGCGGGGGTTCTTTGGCAAGGTGAAGTTGGTATACCGTTGGTGATCGACCGGGCTCAGTTTGCGCAGAAGCAGCCGGGCCTTTCACGCGTCATCCTGTCAGGCCATGTCAACGGTGAAAAGGTCCTCGTATCTCATACCAAGAATCGAAGATGACATGAGCGCCAGGATCGTACGGTAACTCCGAGATACTGCCAGCGATATTGTCAACCTATTGAGAGTTTCCAGCGAAACCTGACTGAATGGAAGAACTGGAGAGTTTTTCTGTTGAGGCAGACATCAAATTGAGGTGTTGTTCAAACAGCTACTTAAAATCGTTGTACGCTATCTCTATGGTTCGAAACAACCAGTCACCACTTTGTTATGACCCCCTCCGTTATGCAACGCTTTGACGATCTGATATCGAGTCTACTAGTCGTGGCGAATGTATGTGACTTGGAGCTTTATTCATGCACGACAAGGTAACCGACAACATTCGAAGTTTCTACGACCCGTGGTACTTACTCGTAACACCGTTACTACGCGCAAGTTGAACGAGCTCCTAGACCGAACGCAATTTCACACGCGACTACGCGAACCCGCTAGAACTAATACAAAAGACAGGCCTTTCGCAACAAGCATTTTTACCGGCCAGGCTCAAGGCGATTACAGCGCAGTCTAGATTTGTTTATATACCGCGGTTGTGAGATATGTGAATTTTCACGTAGAATGGTTTGCGTAATTACACCCTGTCACTATGTGAATGTGCCAACGGAATATGTCGGAAAGTGAATGTTGTTGAATTTCTCACGAGTTGGAACGCTGTTCGACTGGGGAAAGACTATAATGTGGGCGTTCAATGCAATTCCATGACAGAAACTTGCTGTTCGTTTATAGTAACCGACAAATTTTGCTTTACATGACATGTACATCAATCAGCGGCTCTCGAATTCGCGTCGTTTTATGCGACAAATTGAGCAAAGGCAAACAACCACATGTCTGGAAGGTACGGATTAGTTGTTCCAACAATGTGGTTTGCGCTATCAGATGTGACAACGACGAGCTACAATCCCAGCCCATGTAAGGTCACCGACAGTACGACCTGCATTGTCAGCTGCAACAAACCTGAACTTTACTCATGTTACTGTTCAGACACGCAGTTGTATCATTGAGACAGCTGAGATAACTGACAATGTTATCGGCGGTGTCAATTGTGAGGTACACTCAAACCCACATTCAACAGTGTTAATAGATAAGCGTTGAAATTGATAATTCTCCCAGTGCATGCGGGCATAATGACCGTGAACAGAGGACGGGGTTGACAATGCGTACAAGGGATCAGAATTGAGGCTGAGAGCACACACGCGGTCGTTATTGGGCCGGTGTGTCCAAACGTTTTGCAAGGAGGGCCACATTTTATAGGTAAAAATATATCCGGCCATATTCAGTCTGACATTAAGATAATAACAAAATTACATATGTGAAAAAATTCTAAGCCTGAATTTATGATTTCATGATGAGGCCGCGGGTCGGACTTTGGTCTTACCTGGTTTAATGTAAGAGAACTGGATTGGAATCGAGAACACACACAGAGTTGAGATGAAAGGCTTTCAAGGAAGTGCGTCACAATTCTTCTTAGCCGGAGAACAGTGTGTATGGGAACCAATTCATTCCGATGCGTGGTCGCGCTGAGACCGCACTATCAGTCGGCAATCAGCATTTGGCCAACGCTTTGTTTTTATCAATGTGGAGGGGAAGAGAGATCAACACTGAAGGATGTTCTTGTAGTGCTTAATCACAATGTGTGTTTGGATCCACGGGATGAACCATGTGGCCGATCAGATGAGAGCGGAATAGATTTTACAATTTGTCTCACTGTGCATGTCATGTCGTCCAAGCAACTGAGACGGTTGCATTTTCCAATGAATGCTGTTATGGAACAGGTGGCATCTTTCATATTCTTTATCTCCAGCTAGTACGAGTGTGCCAGAATATATGGCATCTCGCTTGGGACATTACAGTCAAACATGTTTAAGGTGATCACTCAAGAGACCGACAAAAATTGATCGCCTTGGACAGGTTCATGTATAGGGACATTACTTATAGGAGAAAACGTTGGGGATGCTTTTGGCTGGTCGCCATAGACAGGTGATCACCATAGCAGGTTGGAATCTATTAGTGACGCGATACTTAAGTATTGGCGCCACGCACTTTATTAGCCACCGATTTCCGGTTCCGTTAGTTTACACGGCGAATCCTCGTGTCCGTTATTTGTGCTACACCATAGCGTTTGTGTTTCTATTCTACCAGAGTATCCCCCATCCTTTGGATGATTTCCTCTTGTGCTTTATGTCTTATTCAGAACTGCGCCCCTATGCATGTGAACTGTGTGGTAAACTGTTTTCTAAGAAACCCAATATGCAAATGCATCTCAAATCTGTCCATTTGGGTGAGTGCTTTATTTACAGTGTTGCTTACGTTTAACTTTGCCGCTTGCGTTGCACCACTGTTGATGATGTGACGTAGCTTCGGTTTCTCCAACCATATTGCTTGCAGTAGCTCCTTGTTTTATTGTTCTCACGGCTCAGTCATACATTTCCGGTGTTCCGGTTTCCAAATTAGCCGATGTACCTAAAACTGTTTCTTCTAAGACGGTAATTAACTTCTGACTTCAGTCCTCCGGACCACAGGCATGGAGATGTACTTGTCAGTGGTCTGAAATCCAAATTGTGATTACCCGTATCAACAGATTTCCACAACTGTCACTCCAAGCGAGCCAACACCGATTCTCACTGCGAGTTCTTACGCCTGTCCTCCTAGACTTTGCTGGTTTAGTGGTGAAAACAACCACCGACTGTTACTGCTTTTCTGATTGGAGTGTGATTTCCATTCTCTTTAGCTGAATCCTGGGAAGACGCACGTAGCCGTAGACGGGTAAAAACGAACACTTACGTCAAGTGGGGTTCATCTAGCTCTGATCGTCTTGGGTTCGGTGTTAAGAATTTGTTACGAAGCAGTGTAGGACACGCTTGTCCGTCCTACAGTGGACTTTATTCAGCTTCCCCAGATCTCGAATGTGGCAGTGGTTTGCAATAATTCGCGGATCAGCACTTAATAGTCGCCCTGAGGATATTGCCTAGCTTGGTAACGAAGTTTCTGTAACAGAAATGCCCTGCTCGGAGAACAGGACAACCTTCTCATCGACACTTCGAGCTACAGGTCTTCTCAAAAACTGTTATTAATGTCTCCGTCAGCTATCATTTGAATAATTCTATCTAACGCATCAAACCCTTTCGTATGACTGTTTTTTAAGTGTGATTCAGCTGTGACATTACACTCGACCTTTTATTACAGAACTTCGACCCTTTAAATGCGAACACTGTGGAGCATCGTTTCCTCGGAATGTCCGTTTGCAAACGCACATCAAATCTACTCACACAGGTGAGTGTATATCAGAAAATATGGTTTTAATCTGATTTTACCATTAGCGCTACACCATCGTTAATGATATCTTGTAGCTGCGGTGTAAGCAACCACGCTGCCTGTAACTTCTCTACCCAGATGTGTATTTTATGCAGAGTACTCAATTGTTCCACCCAGCAAAGCAAAGGCGATCTTTAAACCGTTGTAATTAGTGTTTCCTGCGGAACTCGATGACGTGGCCGTGAATGCAGCAGTTGGTAATCCGACTGTCCTGTATTTCAGTTGCATTTCCACTGTCTCTGCTTTCAGAAAGTACTCGTGCCACAACCTGAGCCCACGTGTCTACAGTGCTTTGTTTTACAGCACTGCGTTTACGGAGCCTCCATTACTGCTGCTGTTCTAACTTGATTGGATTTATTTTACATCGTTTGCGAGTCTACTCACCTATTCGAAATCCAAAGTGCATCATTAAATATAAATGTTTGAAGAATCACGGTTTATTCAGTACCAATGATTCCGCCCACGCTCTCGTATTTTACCGCCCGGACCGTGCTTACGTTTGGTAATTAGGCTTGTCAGTCGGCAGTACCGGTCGCAGCTACGTAACTTGAATAGTCTGGCTCGCATTTTAATGTATTCGATAGACGGAGAGGCAACAAAATGTTTGCAACTCGAACTCCGAAGCTGCACACGTGCGGTTGACTGCATCTTTGCTTCGGATTAGAGGACTAGCACAATAGTTACATGAATTTGAGCTGAAGGAAAAGTGAGTAGCCTCGTGCGGATCCGTTACGTCGGACAATGACTCACAATTTCTTCGCGGTGACTCCGATGGTGACATGTCGATGGAAGATTTTTGAGGCCGCGGTACTTCGGCAACTTGCTTCAATCGTTTAGTTGTTCGATGCGGGCCGAGTTTTCGCCAGTCCGAATCCCTTCGGTCTTGTTGGACAGCCCACTCAGAAGTCGTGCGCGACAGGAGGTCGGGGCGGTTGAATGTGTGTCAGGGCTGTCCAAGCGAACAATCATCTGCTTTAACGGGGATCCCGTACGTTATTGAACGTTTATTCGCAGTTTCCAATCGAGAGTGATGAACGCTACTACGAATCCAGTGATAAGACTGTCTTACTTAATCACCCACTATGAGGGACCCGCTATGGAGACGATCGAAAGTTGTGTAATGTTAGGCCTCCGAGTCACAATAGCTGAGGTGTTTTCCATCTGCAGCGGACGTGTATACTAATGATGACCGCCTTGTTTGGTATGCATGCATAATGCTTTTCTGCAGAAACCCATTGTTTAAATCGGTGTTCCCGGTTTCTATCCATGAATGATGTCCAACGGTTAGCAGTCGTATCTCGGAAATGCTTGTTTTTTATGTATGAAGCCGAATCATTCGTCGGATAGTTGTTCATTTCAATACGCTTGTGGGCTGGATTGCTGTAAACTTTAACATTATTGCACAGTGAAAGTACAGTTCAAACGCCTTCACCGCGTGCTACAGTTGATGAAACGGTAGCGTCCGTTGGCCAGGTTGCTTTGGGAGTGATACCCATCAAGCCTTATGGTAAAAACAAGGCAATATTGACAAATGCGTTGTTGGGTCCAGGGTCATACTCATCACCTGTAAAAGTACAGCTATTACCGGAGCTTAGCCTACCGGCTGAACCGTCGTTAGTCGGAATATTTGCTGTCAACGGTGACACTCAGGTTTTCTCACATGTGGTCAAGCTAAAGTTACTGCCGTTGGACGGAGAAAAACCTCTTAAAATCATGCCTCACGTCAAACGAATTAGACCAGAGTCAAATTGTGTTGAATGTTGGATACATTTTAAAAACCTGAAATTTCCCGGTAGCTGCGGAGAAAGCATAAGTGTACTTATAGGCATGAACGTCCCAGAGGCCCATTCGGCGCTCGAGCATAGATATGGGAAACCCTTTGAACCTTTTGCTATACGGACTCCTTTGAGTTGGGTTCTGCTCAGTCCAGTCAGGAGTCTAGGCGCATAGAGTATTTGTACAAACTCAATTTCGATGGATGATCACAGGTCTGCCTTTCCCAAAAGGATGTACGAACTAGAGTTTACCGAGCCTCGGAATTCGCGCCTTGGAATGTCCGTAGAAGACGAGCAAGCTTTAAAGCAAATTGAATCATCCGTCACCAAGTGAGGCTCCCACTACCGTGGAGGAGCGAGTGCCCGAATCATCCGAATAACTATCACGTCACTTCTTAGATGCTTCAGACACTGGGTATGGTGCAGTGTAGTACGCACGAATCTTGGGTCCAGATAAACGATTCCAAATTTCCCTTCTATTTGGGAAGTCCCACGTATCCCCAGACTGAACAGACAGTGGCGTCAAGTTTAACAGTTGTCAAAGGAAAGCTGTATGATAGTACTGACGATTTATGAGTAGTTCACTAACATTTCACCACGCCATGCATCTCCTTCCGATAAGTTGCACGTGTTGTTGCATTTTAACCGACAATTATCCGAACGAGCTAACTGACAGTCGCGTTAGTTTATTGTTTATACTTTTGTTTATATAACATTTCCGCTTCTTAACCACAACCTGAGTTCAAGTGTCTACAGTGCTTTGTTCTATTGCGCTGCTTTTACGGAGTCTCCACTACTGCTGATGTTCTAACTTTACTTACTTTACATTCGTCTGCGAGTCTATTCACCTATTCGAAACTCAACTTTGTATGATTGGATGTAAATGTTTGTTGAACCACGGTTTATTCAGTACCAATTATTCCGTCCACAGCTCTCGTATTTTACCACCCGGACCGTGCTCACGCTTGGTGATGAGGCTTGTCAGTCGGCAGTACCGGTCCCAGCTACCGTACAATTTACAAACAATTTAGGAAATAATAACAATACCAACCACAATAATAACACTTCCAAGTCAAAACAGAATCAATGGAAGTTGATTCTTTCTAAGGCCAAGATGGGTTTCGAGGCACCAATAGAGATACCGAACGCCGACAATACAGGATATGGGATCTTATAGGGTCGGTGGATGTGGTACGAATGGTTAATCACACGAACCAAACACACTGGATGGGCGTTATAGTGAAATAAAATCAATCTTCTCAAGTATTCAGGAAGTGTGTCAAAGCACTGCAGCTAAATTAAACGGAGGACTTTTAGAATACCTCTACATTCCCGACGAAATTTCTAAAAGAAATTTTATCTTCTAACTCTTGATGTGCTCTCGCTCACTTGCATCGACGGGTTGAGATGATTTGTGCCCTACGGCTACAGTCTTTGACTGAAATGCCTGCAGAGTGTCAGCCAATTCGGTGTTAATCGATGGGCTTGGAGCACGTATGCGGAATGATGCTTAGAGTCAGATAAGGACCTGTTGTCTACTTTGGTCAGGCCTCTGCAAGCAGCGTGAAACTGCCAGCTAGCACTTTGCTCACTATTTCGGTCCTCCTTGCTATTCGATATTAGCAGTCAATTTCATTAGGTTGTGAATCCCAAAACTTATAGTTCATCATTGATACCTGCGTATGACCTAATCTGCGAACCCTCGATCTGACTGATAGTTCGGTATTTTGCTCATATTTCTTGTATAGTTCATTTGCCATCGCTTATTTTCTATTCCCCAATTCAGAACACCGCGACCATACGTGTATGCACTGTGACAAATCATTTGCCGAAAAGTGGCGTTTGAAAGGCCACATCAACTCTGTACATTTGAGTACGTGCGCAATTGATACCACTAGTTTTGATCCGCATAAGCTTCGCAATCTGTTTACGTTTTAGTTCTCTGTTCTCTTGCGGGACTCGATTTTTTAAACCAGTTTGTTTGTCGTGGGACGACTGATCCTCTTGTATCGTTTGGCCCACATTTTTTGTTCTCTGGTGGAACCGTCTTGGGTTTGTCGTTGCTTCGGACCTCTGCATTTGGTGAAAAATATATTTTTCTCAACCTGTTTGCTCATCCTGTTCTGTGTCTAAAACGTACTCGCTACCCTCTTATGTCATGTTATTTTCTCTGATCTTGGTTTTCACGTTCTTATTTACTCTGTGTTCCGCAGAGTGTGTTTCATGCTGAGCTTGATGTTGCATAAACCGTGCTGGCTTGCCGAACAACCTCCTCGTGGTGCCAGCTGGGTGGTTCGGGATTTTCCCGTTCCAGCAAATGGTTCGGCGGCAGTGTTCCAGGACGTGGTGGGTTTTCGCCTTGCAAGCGTTCTCCCTATAAAAAGCCACATATGTCGGTTTATCAACACTGTGACGTGGCGGACGTGACTCGCCACTAAATAAAGTCATTGCCCCTTCCTTCATCCTGGCGAAGCATTGTATTCCAGCAACGTCATGCTGTACTTCTGGGGAGCATTGGGCCCCTGTTTGACAAATGAACAAAGGAAAGGCGTATGAACTGAGCAATCAGTCACCGGCTCCCAATGGGCGCGATTCCCTGAATTCGCTCCGCTGCGTTGCGGACAGGCTATTCAGCCAAAGGCTCGGGGTGGTGTCCCCTAAGTCAACACCCTACTTCGGCTTGGGCAACCGGGTAGTACCTCGCCCTCTGAGGAAACCATGGACATTGTTGTGCTGTGTTTTATTTTACTATTCCTGTACCTTCGTTGGAATCCCGTGTTTTCTGATGGCATTATGCCTATTCGTAGACTTTTGCATATATATATATATATATATATATATATATATATACTTCACCGCAACTCGACTGCATCGACTTACCCTTATGTTCTATCTTCTTAATATGGATAGATTATTACACTTTGTTTGCTTTGTTCACATCTGTTCTTCACCTGCATATACCGTGTCATGCTTTGGTGCGCTGTCGTTTCTTTACCGGAAGGCGCACCAAGCGTCTCCTCCGATTGGCAACTGGGAAATTGTCTCAGCCCTCGGTCAGGCAAGCCTATCAAGACGCACTGCATATCGAACTCTCGCTGTCTTGTCCTAATGACACCGAACTTCAGTGGAATAGGATCTTGGTTTGCCATGCACGACGCAGGAGCATCTGCTTGTGGCACTATCAATCGTCATCGCACTAGTCACTGGATATCCGAGAGGTCGGTGAACTTGTTGGAATCTAGAAGACACCTCCCGGCTGATTCTGAACACAATGTGACCAGACGGGCTATTAGGCGTGAACTAAAGCGGAGCCTACGTGTTGACAAGGAAGCCTGGTGGACCAGTCGGGCTCTAGAAATGGAGGAGGCAGGAGCAGTAGGCAATTACCGGAAGCTTTTCCAGCTAATACGCACCACTGGTCCCAGAAAACCAGGCGTCAGTAAGACAATCAGAGACAGCGCGGGTGCGCTGATACACAATAAGGAGCGCCGTATGGCTTGTTGGGCTGAACACTTTCAAGATCAGTTCAGCTGGCCCCATGCTCCCGGACCTCTTCCTACTCAGGTAATGCAGGACGAGCCATTGACGGTTAGTTTAGAGCCTTTGTGGGAGGCCGAGTTCCGAAACGCGATCACAGCCCTCAATCGTTTTCGTGCCGCTGGCCCGGATCTCGTCCCACCTGCACTATTTAAGGATGGATGTAAGGTCCTCTGCAGGGCACTGACCTCCCTATTCGAACGTATCTGGAAGGAAGAGAGTGTTCCGGCTAATTGGAGCGAATCGATTATTGTGGCATTATAACAGAAAGGCAGTCGCACAGACTGTTCTAACCACAGGCGTATTAGCCAACGCTAGTTGTGACAAATTTAATAACCTTGATTATCGTCCGGCGCCTCACTGCGCAACGGGAATCTCGGATTAGGGAAGAGCAGGCCGGTTTCGGCCCATGAGGTGGATGCATAGACCATATATTTACTTTGCGGCAGTTGCTAGAGCAGCGTCACGCATATCGCAGACCGACAATAGCTGTGTTCCTCGATTTCAAGTGTGCGTTCGATTCAGTCGATCGATGGATTCTGTTCGAAATATTTGCGAGGAAAGGTGTTCCCACGAAAAATGTGAGCATCCTTCGTGCTCTATACTCGAACACTACAGGCCACTTCAGGGTCTATGGTGTCCTATCGGACAGCTTTCCGACCACAAGTGGCGTCCGTCAGCGTTGTCCAATTTCCCCGCTTTTGTTCAATTTCGTCGTGGATACTATCATTTAGTGTTCCCTTGCGGAATCTTATGATGTAGGCGTTGAAGTGCTGTCTGGTGAAAGGTTAGTTGACCTAGATTATGCGGACGATATCGTCTTGTTTTTCCACAATTTTGCGGCGGCACAATCAACCCTGAATAGTCTATCCAGAGTGGTCCCATTATTTGCTGTGCGTTTGCGCCTTCAAAGTGCAGTGTTGTTGCAGGACCACCAGCCACTTGATGACCCCTTGACGCTTGCTAACGAGGAACTCGAGGTGGTTGACCCACTCACTTATCTTGGCAGCTCCATCGGGATTGATGGGCGCATAGAAACTGACGTGAGCTCACGGATTGCAAAGACCAGAGCTGCCTTCTTGAACTTACGGCATCTTTGGCGACAGAAGGGAATTTCCATCCGTCTGAAAGGCCGTGTATACAAGGCCACAGTGAGGGCCGTTCTGCTCTATGGTAGTGAAACTTGGCCCCTTCGGTATTAAGATCTGAGACGCCTTCAAGTCTTTGATCATCGTTGTCTGGGAAGCGTTGCTGAGGCCGGATGGCACCAGCATGTCCACAACGATGATGTGCGTAGGCGAGTACTAGGTGGTGATAATCATGCTAGCTCCCTAGAACAACAGATAGCAGTGAATAAGTTGCGTTGGCTCGGGCACGTGCTACGTATGCCTGGTCACCGTTTACCTAGGAAGGCCTTGTTCAGTCTACCAGGTGTAGGATGGCGCAAGGCGCGAGGTGGACAGAAGTTGACTTGGCAGCGGGAAATGAAGTCACTGACGACCAAACTGGGTGGCGTTGGTCCATCTCGCCTTTCGGGCTGGAGTCCACGTGACTCACCTTGTGCTTGGCTCGAGACTTTACAAGACATGGCTCGCAACCGACACCAGTGGCGCGTCTGCTGCCGTCTCCTAATTGGATTGCCTGTTTAAAGTGTGTTTGGTGCTGAGTTATCTGCGTGGTAATGGCTGATTATGGAGCGGGACAGTGAAAGCCGCAAGGAAGCTGTCTCGCCGATGCCGCCTTGTCTTTGCACGATAGCCAGCTGTTTGTGACGGAATGTTGTCTACACAAGGTGTAGGCGTCTTGACCCTGAATGTTTGCTTAGGGCATTAGGTTTTCAGGTAAGTCCCCCTTCTCTCCCTCTTCTTATTCTTTATTTCATAGGTCCTCATGGTTGTATGGCAGCGAAGCATCAGTTCAAATGGCTGATGTATTGCTGTTGATGATGATGGTGATACCGTGTCGATTTTGCATGTTTGCCTTCCATCAAATTCTGTCTGTTTTTTAATATGCTGGTGTGGCTGCGCTTAATGTGAATCTGGACAAAGTGCCTACTTGTCTAACACCCTCCACCACGATTGGTGGCTCCAGCCGACTATGAATCGTTGCTCGAGGGACAGAGTGCACAGTCTTCCTGGCGGTGCTAGGCTCAAAGAGTGGTTCCATTCAGTGTGGAACGTATTGCGGCCCAGCCACCGTTTTGTGTACGTCTGGTAGGTAGGATTTCCCGTTTAGATAGTCAGGAATGCTGTTGCTGTGCATGTTGAAGAGGTGTGTGTGCCATCACCGTTCATAGCATGTGGCTCCCATCCACCTGCCTCCCGGTCTTATTCCTTCGGGTTTACATTGGCTATGGGGTATGTGAATGGAGTTTCGGTTGGGGCAGCGCAAGCCACTTATTGTCCCTGTGCAGGCACAGGCGTCCTGTGGCTGTCCTGTTGAGGCTGCAGTGACTGACAAATCCGGACACGGATGCCGCCAACCCTTGACACCGCAAATTTATCATGATCTTCATGAAGTCAGAATAAAGGATGTTAGATGCACGCCTGTACATAGCGCACTCTTGATCGGTGGCCTCTCTAGTTTCCTCTGAGCATGAGAACTGCACTTAGATAAGGACTGTTGATGTTTTTCATTTCATCCTGTGCAGCTCTATCCACACGTCCGGCATGAGTCCGACGGAACGGTGTTGGGAGGTGTTTATAAGATTTGCGCTTGTCTCTAGGTTAGCTCAAGTTTCTTCACCGGACTCATCGCTGATGCATATTTTCGGGAAGCGAGCATTTCATTCTCCTGCTGGACTCGCGCGGTTTGTGTTCGTATACATCGAACCATTCTGACCGTTTGTAGTTTGCTCAGAGTGCGATTTTCCCAGTAGCTACGAACACATGTTACTTCTGATGATGCCACAGAGCGCTGATTGAAACAATGAAGTCGGTTTCACCAGCGTGTAGCACCTTTACGTAATGCTTTTCCATGCGCTCTACAGTAAGTCATTATTAATCCGGTATGTAACTGTAGAGCAGCGCTGAGGGCTTTTCTTTTCCTACGATTGTTGTACTGGGTTCAATAAATCCCTTTGGTGACGGTCTAAACCTGCACTCAACTGTAACCATTTTAGCTGATCACCTTATGTGCGCGGACGCGTGTTATCTTTATTTGGCGATCAACCTCATTCCAGTGTTGGAGATTCGTGTTTCCCATGTGAAACCGATGAGTCGTCCAGAAGGCGCAATCTGGCGCTGTGTTGTTCCGTTGTATGTATGCAGCTAGAGGTTCGCATTCTAACCTTTTCATTTGTTCTATTGATTTTATTACATCAGTATTTGCCAAACT